TGGAAACCAGATGCCTCCTCTAACATCTGCACACATGCACATATGCACGAGTGTGCACGCGCAAGCACACACGCACGCACAAGGCAGGGCTGTCTTCCTTCTAAAGAAATCACCAGTTAAACACATACTGACCAGTGTATATCAGGAAACAGAAATGCTCTGGGAGGCTGGAATAAGAGGCCTTGAGGCAGCCGGGCTGTGGTGGCGCACGCCTTTAATCCCAGCACTTGGGAGGCAGAGGCAGGCGGATTTCTGAGTTCAAGGCCAGCCTGGTCTACAGAGTAAGTTCCAGGACAGCCAGGACTACACAGAGAAACCCTGTCTCAAAAACCAAAAAAAAAAAAAAAAAAAAAGAGGCCTTGAGGCATAAAGGAAACTATCAGACTGTTACTCATGGTGGCACACACCTTTAGTCAGCACACAGGAGGCAGAGGCAGGCTTAACTCCAAGTTCCGGGCCGGTCCGGTCTACAGAGTGAGCTCCAGGACAGCCAGGGCTCTATAGAGAAACCCTGTCTATCAAAAACAAAACAAAACAAACAAGAACAGAAAGAATCCTATCAACCAGGAGGCACCAGAAGAACAGAATGAATGAAGACCAGGACCAGAGGGGACCATGTGAGTACACTCTACAGTTACTGTGTCCCTCCTGTTTACCTCTAGTGTTCTTTATTTATGCTGCACCCCCAGAATTTGCCTGGACTCTCCTATGCTATGGCATGACTGTTCCCTCTGGGCATCACGCGACTGTGCCACTGGGACTATGATGGCCTTGCTTAGCATGTTCAATCTAACCAAAGAAAAAGAGAAGGGAGGGAGGGAGGGAGGAAAAAAAAACTAAAACAAAATCTCAAGAACAACACAGTATTCATCAGCACTCGACACGCTGCCACTGAATTCAGGGAATGGGTGGGTCAACAGTGCCCCAGTCCCAAGGCCAAACAGCAATGAGCCACTTCCAATGCCTGCTTCTACACACAAGAAAACTGAGGATCCAAGATGGCCAGGTACTGCCAACCACTAACACCAGACTCGGAGTCCTGCTCTGAACTCAGTCCTAGATTGGCTAAACCATACAGCCACCTCTATAGGCCAAAATTGTATTCAAAGCTGTCAGCCTTGCATACACTAAGCACACTTTGTACACTGTTTCCTTTATAAACCTTCTGCTGACAATAATACTTTTTTGTTAAGATAGAAAGAACGGATATAAATAAAAAACATGGAAATAGAAACACACATACCTGCCCCATTCTAATCTACTCTATAAAAATTAACTGCATTTTTATTTCTCATTTGCAAGTCCCCAGAGAAGCCAGTACATGCTAAATACAAGTCTAGACACTTGTATCAAGGAGAGGGAGGAAAAAAAAATGATCCCAGACTTTAAAAAAACATGACCTTGATTGATCCCAGCAAAGATCGCCCACTGATAACCCGGTAACATGAAAGACAGACCTGGACGTTCACAGGATAGGGAGCAGCTGACCCCTGTGAACCGGGCTTGACCACAGCATCCCCACGGCAAGCTGAGCAGGCTTCAGGAGCAAAGACCCTCACACACTGAGTCACCAGAGAAGGGGCCTAAAAGGCAGCAGATGATCCTGGTGCTCACTTCCCTTCCAGGGGATGGAAACAAATTCAGAAATAGCAGGAGGGGGCCAGCAGGGTGTAAAGGACTCTGAAGCCCCCAGTGTTGGGTGTCTTTTAAAAAGAGAATGAGAGGCAGGTAGTGGCAGTGGTGCAAGCCTTTAATCCAGCTCTCAAGAGGCAGAGCCAGGAGCATCCCTGAGACCAGGCCAACCTGGTCTACAAAGTGAGTTCCAGTACTACCAGGGCTACACAGAGAACCTACCTCAAAAACAAGAGGAGGCGGTGGAGGAGGAAACGAGGGGGAAAGGAAAGGACACAGGTGCAATATACTCAAACATGCAAACCCTGCAAGAGGCCCCACAACCAAGTGTAACCCTGCATAAGTCACGTTGGGGGGGTCCTAATTCAAACGTCTGACAATCTTGGATATTTAATACCTGGATTAGGTCACATCTAAGCCTCTCTAATTTGGGGGAGTCGTTGGAGGGATAAAGTATGAACAGACATACAGACTGGCATTGTAGCTACATAACAAATTATGGATTATTCTCCTACACTCTAAAGTATGTTGAAATAAAATGACTCACAATCTAAATTTTCTTCCAAGTACTTCAGCAGTAGCAACGGCAACCAAAAAAAAAAAAAAAAAGAATGAATGAAACCAGACAATTCTCATTAAACTCTAACTCTAGACATGGATCATGGGGTGACAGGAGCCCAAATTTGCATTATTCTATCCACTTTGGCTAGCTAAAAATGCCCATGATTAAACAAAAACAAATTTAACCTGTCTTTTGAAGCACTCTGAGAGATAAAACAGAAGCAAAGCCTTATTTTCTCTTGACTTAATTGAGAGAAAAGGTTCTTGATGAAATCTGAACACTAAGAAAAAAGAACAAAACCCAGGCCTGGAATCCCCGCACGGGAGATGGAGGCAAGATCAGGAGTTCAAGGTCACCCAAAGACAAACATCAACATCAAGGTCAAGGCTTGCCTATTTGAGGCTCTGTCTCAAAACAAACAATCTGACCAACAAATAAAAAAATGAAAGGTCCCCTCCCTGGTTCCAGGACCTTACCTATAACACCTAAGCACCTGGAAACTTCTGACCACCAACCTTCCCAGCCCACCTCAGAACCAAATCTCCAAGGTGGGGTACCAGCGTTAAACAACTCGCTTGGGTGACTGAGATGCAATCTCAAAGGTTCCTTCCTTCTCCAGGGGCCCAGCCAAATAGTAGTTCAGCAGGGTCCATGTTCCAAGCCCTCGGGGACAAGGATCCCAGAGAATCCCACATCCTCACAGCTATGCCAGGCTTAAAACTGTGTTCTCCAATCTCAAAAACATACCAAAAAAATTTAAAACAAACAAGGTAGTGTGGCTAACTTGGTGTGTGTAACGTGCCAGGCCTCCATTCTCTGTCATCTGAGGCAGTTCTCACCAACGTTTGGGTGTGTTCAGATATTCATGTTGAGGTTGAGCCTACTGCCAAAGCAGAACTCCCTGGGAAGAAAACAAGTGTACCTACACTGCCCAAGGGACTCTCACTGGGCAATGGATCAGTGAGAATGCCTTCCCTTTTACGCAGCAAATCCAGGAGAAAACCCCCAGTAAACAGGCCAAGGCTAGGGTGCTGGCAGCACTGACAGGGCCTGACACTTGAACAGCCACCAGAGGCCTCCAGCTCACCCAAGGGAAGAGAAGAAAAGAGGGTGAAAGAAAAAAAAAAAAAAAACACAACTGTAGCTTTGTTCTACCGAACCGCTGGGAACAAACTCGCAGCCACAAAACTGACTGGCATTTGATCAGAAACGCGTCAATACAGGTCACTGCCTCAGCTAGGAAGCCAGAACTCAACAATTCAGAATATTAACAATCTCAAGTCCTTCAAAACACTCCCTGTCAACAGGTATCAGTGTTTGCTGAGATTGACAACCAACTCCCCTGGAAAAAAAATGTGACTCCAAGAATCCAGTGTGAGGCGGTGCAGGGGCTGCTGTGTAGACCCTCCTGTTCTGACAAGCACCATCCAGTGCTTGGTAGCAGGGAGAATGAGGAGTAAATAAAGTCTCGATGCAGGCTTGGAGCTGGTCCCGTTTAACATTTCAGAGTTCGCACTAGCTAAATTACTTTTAAGTGCCGCGGTTTTATGTCAAACATGGAGACTCATGCATGCTGTAACTTGCAGAAAGGATGACGGGGAACTAAAGGCCCTGTTCACCTTCATCAGAGGCAAGCGGCTCTTGGGGCCTGACTCAAACTCTCCTGGCCGTATTCTAAGCTTAGAATTCCTCGCTCAGGCTTGCTCTCTCTTGACTCGAGAAATGACCTACACAAAAGTGTTTAATGCCACAGCTCTTTGAAAGAGAACAGTTTCTAAGTTTCCAGAATGATCTCAAAGCAATGGAACAGAGCCTTGAGAGTGGTCTCCAGATGCTTAAGCTGAGAGAAAGTTAAAACTGAGTACCCTGACCCTCACAGATATAATAAAACTAAGGACCCAGAAAAGAAGAAGGTTCCTGCATACACGTGAGCACACTCCTGACATCTCCAGCATCAGTGAGCAGAGGCTCAGAGGTTAAGAAGCCTCACGGTTCCTGTGACAGAACCAAGTTCAGTTCCCAGCACCCACCGTGGATGGATCACAACCACCTGTAAATCTAGCTCCAAGAACTTCCGACACCTCCGGCTTCTTAAGGCACCTGCACTTAATGTACATCCATGTACGCAAGGACAAACAAACACACACACACACACGATAAAAACAATAAAAATAACTTCTAGTAGGAACCTTAACCTAAGCAGTACTTCCTCACCGTCAGTTTCCTAGTTTCATGTTGCCAAGCACTTACATATACACCAGATTTCATAAAAGTCACAGGCGCCTGAAGTCTCTGATTGGTCTTAGAGTAAAGAAATATGTTCAAGTATCTTTCAACAATGCAGCAGCATCTTCCATTTATCCCACAAGCCCGAAAAGCAGCCTTCTCCCACTACTCAGAAAGAAGCTGTCATTTTTCTCCAGTCCTTCATGGCAATTCTCCTTATATAAAGACCCCTCTGTTAATACACTGGGTATTGCCACATAGATCTTTGCATTTTAAAACCAAACTGGTCCCACCACGTGGAAGGAAGACGTGAATGAAGGCACTGGATGGATTGGCAAAGCTTAATTATGTTAAATCATATCAGGGTACCTCTCAAGAGATCCCCCCCGAAAAAGAAAAGTATAACCAATACATTTAAGGAAAAGGAAGTTTTTCCGCAACTACCCAATGTGTTAAATTATCCATTTGTAACTACTGCAGCATAGTAACTAGACATGCATTTTGAACGGTGAAAATTTTTAATTTAAAATAAAAGAAAAAAAATAAATAAACTCAGTTCCAGAAGACATGGGCGACTCACCTGACTCCTCTCTTTGTCCACCTTCTTGAAACACTTATTCAATGACAAATTATGTCTCACTGAGTTTTTCCACCCAGTAGGTGCATTTGCAAAATACGGGAAATGTTCTAAGATCCAGTTGTAGATATCCTTCACTGGCAGGCGCTTGGTCGGAGAGTCCTCAATGGCCATAAATATGAGGCAGCTAAAGGAATAGGGAGGCTTGCAGTTGGGGTTCTGCCTGGCATCGTAGGGCATGTCCGAGTGGGCAGGGGATGGCGGGGTGTCATCGTCTAGGTCCTGCACAGGACTGACACTCCTCAGGACCGACTCCCCAAAGCTCTTCAGCAAGTTCTTGCTTTCATGCAGCCAGTTCAGGTTGGTCAGCTCTTCATCTTCCATGGTCCCCTCTTCTAATCTGATGTCAGGCAGAGGGAAGTCAAGATCATCATCTTCCTGGAGGGCCTTGGAGAAACCGCTGCCCCGGTAACGCTGACTCAGTCCACTGGACACACTGATTCCTGAGCTCTCGGGCTTCTTACTGGCAGGCATGACTGGACCCATTTACGTGAAGGCTCCTAGGAAGGACAAGGCAGAGAGGTAATGAGCTGGAGAACCTCAGAACAGGAATCGGTTCAGTTCCCGCCTGACTCCCTCTGTTCCTATTTGGGTCTCAACTACAGTACTCAAGCATGGCAGCCCCACGAGCTGACCATAGTTTATACAATGAAGAAAAACGAGCCCAGCGTGCCAGCAGAATGGTGACCTGATGGGCCTTAAACAAAACTGGAGACACCTGTGGCACTTTTAATGTGTAAACACATCATAAAAGGAACGAACAACTTCACAGTGGCTTCTCTTTGGATCCACAGTCGCTCCCTGTGACCTAGGAGAACTTGGTGTCATCCATCCTTTATGATACATGTATATATTATGCAAACTTCTCTAAAGACTCAGACAACATAAGTGCAATGGGCAACTACCACGGCTTTGTATTACCAGATGCACTGTTTATTCTTCTCAAAGAGAAAAAGGCTAGCTCTGAAAGTACTCACTCAACTGAAATCTCAGCATACCTGTACTTCTGGCATTCTTGAGGCTACGGCACAAGAATTGAAAGTTCAAGGCCAAGCTGGGCTACAATAGATTCCCTCTCAGAAATGGGGGTGTCAGGGCTGACAAGATGGCTTATCGGGTAAAGGGACTTGCTGACAAGACTGATGACCTGAGTTTGATCACCCAGACCTACATGATGCAAAGACAATTACTCCAGGAATTTGTCCTCCGACCTCCACATGTACACTGGGCATATGTGCCCCCATATATACAGACACATGTACGTGTACATATACACAACTGTATACACATGCATATTATGTGTGTGTGTGTATATATATGTATATGTATGTATATATATACATACATATACATATATATACATATATATATATATATATATATATATATATACACACACACACACACACATACAAATAAGTGTAAATTTTTTCACCATTTAAGTAAAATACTAGAGATGAGAGGGAAGGCATGAGAGTTGCTTCCAATCCCGTAAGATTCTCATAAGGGTCTTGGAAGTAGAACTGTAACCAAAGGCCACTGATTTGACTGTTTGGTTTTATTTGTATCCCACAAAAATTGTAAGGAGAAATTACAGCTTTAATTACATTTGACAAGTGTAAACCAGGACAAGGAATTCTGCAGACTACAACTTAACTAAGTACATTCAATTTAAGAACATCTCTAAAGAGAAAAAGTGTGTAACCTCAGGCACTAAAAAATACGTGGGAATGAAGAATAAGCCATTAACTGGGATCGGTAAAGAAAATAAAGTTGGAAGGGCAACTGGAAATTTCAAAACAGGAAGGCAAGTTCAACAGAAACTGTAACAGATCCTCCCCACCCCACAGCATCTCCACTCTTATCAATGGCCTAGAACAGAGAGTAAAGCAGCATATGACAAGAAAATACGTGTCGATGTCAAGTTTACAAATAGAACCACCCCTACAGGCACAACCCTCTGGTACACAACTCGAGATAAAAGGGACAATGGGTCTTTCACTGGCTGCGTGCAGAGCTAAAAACTACATGCTTAGCTTAAAGGCATCTCTTTTTTTTTTGGGGGGGGGGGGGGCCTCCGTGAGGAGTTAAAGCAATGTCCCTAGAGAGGAATGAATACATCGAAGGCAAACAAACGGTTATCCCAAGCCTCTAAATATCCATTAACATGGCATCGAAAGTGACCTCTGTCTCAGCACAGGAAGTTCTAGAGCTGAATTCTAGAAAGCACGATTCAGAGCTCCAAACAAAGAGGCGAGGTGCCAGCATGCTGCAGCGCTTTCCCACCACCCGGACAGAGATATAAGAGGCACATCTCCCAAGCGGACAGGAGATACCATCTCTAAGAGAAGAAAAATCCCCACAGGGCATCCCAGCCCAAACGAGGCAGGCCAGTCCACAAGAATCCAGTTCACCCAAGGAAATATTTCTGTCAAAAACGGGAGTTAATGTACATAACACATCATGCAGGTTATAGAAAAGTGGTTATTCAGATTTGGAGCTACTTAATGAATCCAGCCTGATACAAGTTAATGTCCTTATGAAGAAATCAAGGGCAGCTTGTCTCAAAGTTTCCTCAGATTCCCCTAGAAAAGGTTCTAATTGCCAGCATATCCACACACATGAGAACTATCCAGCCAGTTGAAATCAACTTTAGCACCAAATGAAAGTTTTATGTCTCCTGAGCTTCCAAACAGGAAAATTATATCATGGCTGACAGTAAAGTAATTTAATTGCACTGTTGCTATGACAACATACTGCTCTCTTTCTTTTTAATTTGCTTATTTGTCAGTGGCTTCCCAAAGGAACTAACATGCTATTCTCCATGTTTTCTTTTGTTTTCAACAAACACAACCAGCAACGTGGTCCTATACGAAAAACAAATTTAAACGCCAGGGCCAAGAAGAGAAGGTCTGGAGGGTTCCTAACCCCTAGATTATGTGTTTCCCCAAACTCTCCACTAACTATATCCCCTATAAATCCCTCACTTTACAACAGCATGGCAGGCTCCTCACCATCCCTGTCCTTCTATATTACAACAAAACAAACAATTCCCAGAAACCACAGCTGAGGAGGTTTCCATTAAAGCCTAACTACAAAATTTTCCAGATCTCCTTTCCCTTATTTTAGTGTGGCGAAGTGGTAGTGTGAGTCTGCGGTCAAGCAAACATATTTTAATCTGCTGCTAATAAATAATGTTGCTTTGAACAGTTATCCACCAGTGACCGCCTTAAATTATTGGTTATGTCTCATGCACCCTCCTTTTGTTTTCATTTTTTTATGGCTTCCTGTATTTTATCTTCCTTTCTTTCTTTCAACGAAGAAAATGGAGTAGAAATGCTTACTTTTTTGGCTAATAGTAGAACGTCTCCAAATAAGTGACAACGCCATTACGCCCCAGGTCTGAACAGATGTTAGTGGTGAACTTTTTTAAAAGTTGAGAAATCTTTCTCAACCAAAGCTGGGCAGTCGCGAGTTTGGGGCATCGGGAACCTCCCCCTCCTTGCGCGCGCACGCACGCACGCGCTCCACTCCCTTTTACTGTACTTGTCAAAAACATTTCAAGGGGACCAACGAGGGTAACGATTGGCTGAGCTCTGCGTCAATCAGCGGCGTTGCCAGGCAACGGGAAAACTGCTCTTCTCCGCGTACACAGGGCAATTGGGAGCACACATACCTTCACTGCTGGTCAGATGTCATAAACCTTTTATTGGCCGCAGCGTGGCGAGACTAAAACAAATCAATACGTGCCCACCGTCCTCCCCCATCTCACGCGAGGCCCAGAAAGGCTTGCAAAGAGTCGGGATGCGGAAGCGGGCCCCGCGGGTCTCGGGATGCTCGCGGCCCGTGCAGAGCGTGCTCGGCTAGGGAGGGGATCTTTGTTAGGCGCCAGTTCGCAGTCCTGGGGTCTGGAGTTGATCGGCACCTTCTGCCAGACTCGAATTGCTGAGGATGCCTGTTCCACAGACAATACCAACTCTGTTGCTCTCGGAGTCTGGGGGGAAACCGAGGCACGCGAAGCAGCCAGCACGTCGGGGCAGGAAAACTCCTGGGCGGGCAACTTCCCGGCTTAGGACTGGGGTCCCCCCACCCGGGATCCAGCTTGGCCCGCGCCCCGCACTGCGAGCCCCATCCCCGTGCCGCCGCGACGGCTCTCAAACGCGGACCCCAGCCTGGGTGGTGCGGCCGGGAGCGGGCACGGACTCACCTGGCCGAGCGCGGCGCGGGGCCGCCGCTGCCTTCAGCGCAGCAGACAAAGTTTCGCTGGTGCCCAGCGGGCATCGCTCGGGGTCCCGCAGCAGACGCTCGAGCCCTGGGCGGGCGGCGGGGGGCGGCCGCGGATGCGGGCGGCAGGGGTACGGGGAGCGGCGCGGCATGGGCCCCGAGCGAGCGTCCGCGGGCGCCGCGTCCTCCCGCCGGCCCCGCCGCTCTCCACGCCCCGTCCCGCCTCCCGCTCGCCTCCGCTGCGGCGCGTCGGGGCCGGGGCGCGCCGAGCGGCGAGAAATTGTTTCCACTGCAAACAAAAAAAGGCGACACATGACCAGGCAGGAGGAGGGGAAGCGCGGGGAGGGAGGGGCGGAGGGAGCCGGAGAGACGGAAAACGTGGGCTGGGCGACCCCGGGCTGTGGCGCGGGTCCGCAGGGTGGCCCTTTGGCCGGGCTGGGTACCCGGGGCTCCTGTGCTGCACCCAAGGGACCCAGGGGAGCCAGGCAGGTGGCGCGTGGCCGGCCCCCTCCCCTGCTTCAGGCCACACGGGCGGTGCTGCGCAGCTGGCAACGTGTCGCCGCAGCGCTTTTACCCCGGCTGCCTGCCTTACAAGGCTCGAAAGTAAAAATAAAAAGAATTACGACGCGAGCGAGGCTTCTGAGGGTGAGGAGAGAAGATTCCACTGCTCTCCCAACTACTACTGCAGCACTCCCGAGGCAGGTCCAATCCTCCTCCACCATGTACCTCTTGCCGGGGACGAAAAACTGATCCCCAGCCTAGGTTTCTCTTGGCTTTGGAAGGCAGGAGGATGGCCGCAACCACCGAGGGAGAGGTGAACCCCAAACGCAACGTCAGTGGGTTCTCCTCAGTGGGCTGGGCTAAGGGCCCCATCCGACTTCTATATCTGGAAGGAAAACAAGTCTCCGTCCTTCACCATTTTGAGCTTCATCAACTAAAACGACAATCTGCAGCCCCCCCCCCCCAGCCCACCCCTGGAATGGTACGACCACTTCTCCCAGTCTCCAGACACTTCCAGAGAATGGCCACCCACTGCTCAAGGCACACCAGCGGGCTGCCTTTGGTGAAGATGAAAGCAGAGTCCAATAGGACACCCTGCTGGTGACATAAATAAAAATAGGATTGCGCACCACTCCCAGGTAGCTAGGCAAGCAGGTTCTACAAAGAGAAGCCCAAAGCCATCCTCCCACGCCCACCTGAAAAGTGGACAGCTAGGAAGAGCTATCTGTGAACTGGGCTGAAAACCCAGCTGGGCAGGAACTTTTATCATAGCCAG